GGACAAAGCAAAAACCAAGTGCAAACACATAAAAGCAAAGGAATATATATATATATGCATATACCAGCAAAGTTCCCAGAATTCAACACTTGAATCCAAAATAGAAAATTAAACTAGGCTATTACGAAATTGGCCTACACAGAGGCATTTTCGCTGGAGCTATCCTCGAAGTCGTCCTCCTTGACCAGCTTCCCAAAGCGAACGACCTTCTCCACGTGCATGTCGGAGAAGTCAAACCCTGGCGCAAGGAGCCTGACCTGGCGGGCAGCCTTGAGAAAGCCCCTCTTATGCTCCACCACGATGGAGCGCTCGACCTCCTCAAGTCTTCTCTCCAACGCCGCCTTCTCGGCCTCCAGCGATGAAAGGTCTACTCTCTAGGCAACAATCTCCTCCTCTTTGCTCCCAATAATGACCTCATCACGGAGACGCTCCTCGGTTACCGACACTAGTTTGCTCTTAAAAAATGCGACTTCATCTTCCAAAGAGCGAACCCGCTCCCGAGAAGACATCACCTCGCCCCGGGATGAGGTAACAAGCCCCTGCAGTTCACTCACCCGAGAAGCATAGTCTTCGTTGAAGCGCACGGCGATTTCCAATGACTTCTGGGCCCTGGCGAGGCCCCCCCTCGCCGCCCGGAGCTCGGCCCCCTGCATCTTTGCTTCGCCGAGGGCAGCATTCAGAACCCCGTTCTCCTTCTTCAGGACTTTATTTTCATCCTTCAGAGGCTGAACAAGGCTCCTCAGCTTTGCCATGTCCTCCTGCTGCCTCGACCACTTGTGTTTCCAATAATCCACAATGGTCATGCCTCTCTGCAGGAAGACCTGGGCAGCATCGAAACTCCCCACCGGCCCGGCCGACTCGATCATCGCCTGATCAGTCGTGCTTAGTGACCCCTTGGGGAAAAACTTCTTCGGAGTCACCGTGGCGCTCCACAGAGAGTCGACCTCCTCCGATGCACTCAAGTGCTCCAATCGCATGGGCGCGCCCTCCTGCGCATAGCGGTACGCTAGGTACGGCCGCTTCGGCCTCGGCACTGGACCAGAGGTAGGGAGCCCGAAGCTCGGTCCCTCCCTACGAACCTCGGCGGAAGTAGACGCAGGTACCCCCTGCACCACCATGGTAGGGCCCCCTTCCGACGCCCCTGAGCTCGGAGGACCCGAAACCCTGGTGACGTTTCCCGCCTGCAAGAAACAAGGATACTCTTCTGAGGACAAAAAGTAAACAGAAGGGCGAAACGTCAATACCACAGAAGGGCTAACGGCTTACCTCGCCAACCGGAGCGGCAGGTGCAACACCCTGAGTCACTTCCACGGCGGTCGAGGTGGCCCGCCTGGCAGCAGGGACCACTTCCTCGGCAGTACCCCCTGCTTACAGAAAACAACCTCAAGTCAAAAGGTGGAAAAACAACATAAAACGAAGAAAATAGAAACAAGACCAAGAAAGGAAAAGTACTCACCACGGCGGCCCGAGCAACTCCCTCAGCAGCTTGGGACAGCACCTCGCCAGGCCGAGCTACAGGCTCAGCAGCCGACGCCACCTCTTCAGCGGCCCCCTCCGATGGCGGACCCCCAGCAAGATCCGCTGCCCCGACTTCGGCAGCCTGGGAGGCAACCTCCCCTATTTCACGAGGGGCACAAGTCCCCCCGACCTCTCTCCCGCCCCTCTTCCTTTTCCGGTTGACCTTAAGAGGGGAAGTCTCCTCTTCTGGAGGCTCGGTGACCTCGAGCTCGATCACGTTGACCACAAGTCTTTCCCTATAAGACCTACAGACAGCAAAAAGGGCACATCAGCAAAGAAGAATTGCACAAACCTCAACAAACTACCAAAATGCAAGATACTCAACTTCCAGGTCCCTCTTCCTATGCGCCGAGTTTGCAAGCGACAAGATCGACTTGCAATCCAACGGGCGAGGAAGTGCTGAGAGATTCTTGACGACGACAGCCTTCAAAGCCGTCAACTCCAATGGGTCCACCCCGTGAAACCTAGACTGTTTGGGGACCCAGTAGAATGGGAACTTCGACAGTCCACCGAAGTACAAACCCCCATCCTCTAAAGGGTCAATGTCCACGAGGGCAACCCAGAAGAACTCAGTTTTGAAATTTTTATAAGACTGGGAGTAAAGAATGAATAAACCCCCTTCTTTACTCCCGCTCAAGGAAAGAATGCCGTAAGGCGGAACACCCAGCTTCAGCTGGTAGAAGTGAAGGAAAACGCGAAGGGACAACTCTATCCCTAGGACCGCGCACAAGATTTGAAACGCCCTTAAAAAAACCCAGCTATTAGGGTGCAGTTGGCAAGGGGCCGCGTTGATGTAGTTCAAGAAATCACACTCAAACTGAGTGCAAGGAAGACAAACGCCCAGGTCCCTGAAAAAACACTGGTAGACATAGAAATGGGGGGGGGGGTCGGTAGACTTCCCCATGAACACACCCTCGCCGGCCAGACAGGGCTTGAGCTAAATCATCCGGGAAATGGAGGGGTCGCAAATTCGGTGCGTCTCCCAAACCGCACTGACCTCCAGACGCGACCTGAACACACTTCGGACCCCCCCATTTCGCGCTTAACCCAGTCGTAACCAGGAACACCCGGCTCCAGGTCCTTGGGCGAGGCGGGTCTTTCCTCTCGGCGGCGCCCCTCCCGGTAGCCACTGCCTTATCGTGCGCCTTACCCCTGGCAGACGCAGAAGAACCGACACCACGACCACCAGCCATCAAGAGGAGCAAGAAGACTCGAAAAGGAACTGTGAAAATGGAGACGAAAAGCGAAAAAAGGATAAAGTGAAAAGAGGAAGAGGCGCGAGGGAGAGAAAAGGTTTTCCCCAAATTCAAAACGGTTGCGCCACGTGTTAGCCTAGGGACACGTCTGACGGCACATTAATGGAAAATCATCATGACAAATGCAAACCCTCAGTACATAACCGTCACCTTCATTAACGCGCCACTTGCACGTTTTCGGAAATGACAGTTACGATACACGACACCTTGACAGGCCAGCGCATATGAAAGGTCGCTTTCCCCAACGAGCTCGGTCTTAACTCCTCGACCTACGATCTTCGGAGCTCGGGGTGTTAGTGTACTGTCCGTACGGCGCAACCGAGCTCCGAGCTTGAAAGCTCGGCATCGCAGCACGAGATGACCTCGGGCACGCGCTACGCGACGTCAGCTCGGCATTATAGCAAATCATAACCGATCTCAAGGGATCCCGCCCCGGACGAGATCCCTTATCTAATCTTATCATGTCTCATCTCAGGCCCAAGGCCCAAAACAACCCTAACTCACACTAAGGTACGTGCATTACATATACTAGATTCGTACTCCCACAAACACTAACTTTAGCATCAGAGTCTCTTTTGCAGGTACCACCCCCATCTTAGAGCACCAGCGTACTAGTGAAGGAGGCTCACCGATCTTACCTGGCGGATCAGCTCTACAGCAGATTTTCGATAAGAACATATATAATTACATTTATTTATTTGATCATTTTAGAAATAAAATTAGTCATATTTATTTATGTAAGTAGCCACGAATTCAAGTGGATGGGTGAAGAAAAATCAATAAAACATTCCACTTCTTAAAAATGTGTATCGTAGTATGTCAACATAAAAATTAGATGGTTATTTTATAGTTACTAAAATAAAATTAATGCCGTCAATATGTTATTATATATATAATTAATGATATTTTAAAGAAAATGACGTGTAAATAAGATTTTAAAATTCTATGGAACCATTTGCCTGTGATTTTTTGGTCCAAATAAATTATTAAAAAAAACAATTTATCGTTTAAGGTGATTTCTATCACATGGCAGAATTGTTAAATGATAAAGGGGACAAACGTTTTGTAAACGGATGAAACGTGAATGGATGGCGCACGACCTCCTACTTCATCTGTTTTTTGACGTTCTGTCGCACTTGTCACATCCGCGTCAGCCTTTGATCGACGTGACATAGGGGAACCCTTGCATTTGCTTGCCTTTTAGATCGCGCATGAAGATCTTTACTTTGTTCATGTGTTGTTTCTTCTCCTTGTCCGCGTGTCCTACTTGTCGTTCTCCTTCCCCTCTCTCCTCTTTAAATTCATTTTTACCCTCCTCTCTCATTCTCAATCTCCTTCTTCCCTTATTCTTGTAAGTTAAATTTTTTTGTTTATAATTTTTTGTTTATTTATTTGTTTTTAATTAATTTTGTGTTATTTTGTAGGTTAGATAACTAAATTTAATTATGCATATGTTGTTACAAATGGATAGAAGTAAGTATATTTTTTTAAAAAATCATTGTATATTATAAATTTAAGAAATATAATGCATGTGTTTAAACTATATAATAAATAAAAAATAGGATGATTATTTGATCAAATCAATATTTTGTCACTTTTTTTTTTCTTTATCTTTAGTAACATATATTGTATTTTAAGTTGAGAATATCACAATAATATTTATTTTAAATTTTATTTTATATTAATGTTAATTATTTGAATTTATAACAATATACTAAATAAATAAATTTATTTTAAAATTTAATTGTATCATTATTTACTAATTAATAATATTATATTTATAATAAAATATTAAATAATTTATATCTTTAAAAAAAATACATAAACTCAACTTAATTCAACCTATTAAATTTTTGTCGGAAGTCAAGTGGATAGGCTAAATCCAGCCCAATTACATCCTATGCCATACTGGACTTGTTATATCTACGTTTCCGATTTTTGAGGTGTAATATTAATGTTTAAAAAAAGAAAATGGACCGTCCAATTTTAATTTCCATACACAATTTGCTCTGATATAATATAAGCGTGACATGGTTAAGTAAAGATTTGAGAGTTATGAAAAGAAAATCAAAACTTAAATATAATCCTTTATGTGATTTATTGATTTGAAATTTTACTTCAACAGTTTTCATAACAACTAAAACTTTTAGAGTTAAGACATTGAAAAAAACAAGAGAGAAGGAAGGACATGTTTGGTTTAGGGTTTAGGGTTTTAAACATGTTTAGGGTTTTAAACCTTAAACCCTAAACATGTTTGGTCGTATTTAAATAATTTATTTATAGACCATAATCGGAGGCAGTTTTACTAAATTGATAAATTATGTTATGAGAGGATTTGAATTTGAAGGTGAATCTGGAGAAAGAAAGGAAGGTAGGAGGAGAAAAGCAAGTGGGGGTCCCGCATGAAACCGAAGCTTATCACTTATCACATTCACAACACGTACGCGCCAACATCATTCAACTTGTTCATTTCCTAACTCATCACTGTGCGCAATGCCATGAAGCCCCCTTCCACCGCCGCCGCCACCATCCAATCCGCCTACCGCGCCCACCGGATCCGCTCCCTCTACCGGAAAATCGCCGCCGTCGACTCCGAGGCGGATGAGCTGCAGCGCCTGATCCAGCGGCAGGACACGGTGGACGCCGTCCGCACTAACCACCTGGAGAAGCTGAGAATGAACGAGGCGCTCATGGCCCTGCTGCTCAAGCTCGATTCCGTGCCCGGGATTGATCCTACGCTCAGAGACGCCAGAAGGAAAGTCACCCGTCGGATCGTGGGCCTTCAGGAAATACTGGACTCTGTCTCCGAAGCCCAAATTGACGAATCCAGTTGGTGGCCCATGAACAATTGGGACGAAGTCATTGCCGACATGGAGGAGACTATTTGTCGGGAGAGAGGCGGCGATGAAATGGAAACCTTTTGCGCCCAAAATCTCGGCTTTCGCTGCCTACAAAGGTTTCTCCGTCAACCCTGATTCACCTCTTATATGTTCACATCGCATATAACCTCTGTTGTAATTGTATAATGTATAATATAATCTCTTTAGTTACCTACCTTAAAAACTTTATGCTTTAGGTAGCTATAGTAAATACATGGCAGTGAAATGAATGTGGCCCAAAAGAATTAAGATAATAGATAATACTGAAACTTTGTTATCACAACTGAGTGTCAGTCTTCCTTAATCTAGAACCTCAATTGAGCTACAATCGCAAGTAGAGATACTAGATATTATATTTCTATATGGGTTGATCAGTCACAATAAATCGTTTCTCTTAGATGCAAATTCTTTTTAAAAGGAATTGTGATAATTAAAACAGTTAAATTTCAAATTATTAGCATGAATTAATGAGAAAAATCAAAACAAGTGCAAGATGCATTATTTATGTTTTATAACAGAAATCAAATATATATTTTAGTAGAGACATCTTAGTAGTTAGTAGAGTATGATAGAACTACCGGGAGTGACAGAACTATGTAACTGCATATCTAGGCTCAAACTTTAGATTGTTGATTAAGATAAAATAACCCAGTTAATTCACACGCTCGGTTGTAGTAGATCCATCTATTTTTGGACCAGCTTATACTAGTTATACATGGTGGTTGAACAAAAACTAATTAAGATGATAAAACTTAGATAGAACTTGTTTGAATACAAGTTTAGAGGTGTTTTTGAGAAGTTTTATACTTAAAATAAATAGTGTTTTTTAAAGTAAAAAAACTTTCAAAAACATTTCTAACTTGTATCCAAACTCATAGTATGAAAGTGCTGGTGGGCGAGGTACTAGTTGATGCAGCTGCACTTGCACTTGGACATGCATTTCTTGCAGTCAGAGAGTGTAGGGTAGCCGTTGTTGCAGTCGCATTTGTTGATGCAATCGGGCCTTGAAGTGCCATCCCACAAGCAGCGAGCCATGCAGTGTAGGATTGGGGAGCAGGATGGACAAGCGTTTTGCATCTGGTTTACTATGCAGTCTTTGCAGCCCCTTCCGTCTGTGGGTGGACAACTCATGACAGGTAAAGCCACCATCATCAATATCATAATCAGCAACACCGCTTTTGCATGGAGTTGGAGTTGGACTGCTGCTCTGCATTTCTTCTTCGTCTCCATGTGAACCCAATGTTTTATCTTGCACATGTGCTTTTCACAAATTGTGGAAAGTAGTGTGTCTTGACAGAGAGATATATGGTAGGAGTTGCTAACTAGCTATGCCACTTCCTCGTATATAAAAATTTGACTGAATTTTAAGATTCACACATGCATCGATAGTGAGGATGCATTTAATTTCTTGCCCGACCTTGCAATTAACCACCACATTTACTCGTATGACTTTCGCAGCTCATCCCTCTCTTGGTTTGCACACTCATTTATCTCATAGCTATCCCTTAGCAAACTGGCAGAATCAACTGTCAATAAATATTTTTAGTTCTTTTTTATTGCTAGGAAAAGATTATTATAATAATACTGAATTTAGATCCTCTCTTGCAATATTCTCTCTCCAGCCTCTCTCGTGCAATATTAATAGCCATTAGATATATCTAATGACTCAAATTTAATCTTATAACTAATGTAACTTTTTAAATGATTAAATTTGAGCCATTAGATATATTCAATTTCTATTAATGTTGCAGGAGAGAGGCTGGAGAGAGAATATTGCAGAAGAAGATCCAAATTGAATAATACTTTTTCCAGTTCTTATTATAAAATTATTTTAATTAAATTACACAAATTAATATAAGTAGTTATATTAGTTAATTTTAATAAATTACTAATTTTATTTTTCTTAATTATTATTAAATTTTTTATGAGAAATGAAGGTATTATTTCATATAAAGGATTACATATTAATATTCATAAAAATGATAAATAATAATTTTAATAGGTGGAAGAGAAAACTTAACTCTCCGTGCATTTATCTCAATTCTTTCCATTCTACTAGCACACATGTTTGATTTCTTATTTAGTGTCTACTCTACAATTTTTATATTTTAGCCTTTGTATTTAAAAATTTATTTGATTTTATCTTTTTAATTCGATTTAGTTCTTATATGTATACTTTTTAATCTATTTAAGTACCTTCCGTTTTGGATGATATGGATTAAAATTGATTAAAAAGTATACATGTGCGAGTTAAAATGAGTAATTTTTATTTTTATTTTTATATATATATAAAGACTAAAACATAGCATAGATTATACATGTATAAGGACTAAATGAGTTATACTCTTGGTTTCAAAATACTCTCTCTAAACTTATATATAAATAAAAAAGACTAATTTCACATAAATTAGAAAAATAATTAGGTGCATTTAATTTTCATAATTTCACATAAAATATGTCCAGCTGTTTAGATGAGGTTGGCTCAAAGCAACATTCGTTTGACTAAAAAACAAATACTCAAAATCACTAAATAGTAGTGCAACCCTAGTATACTAAGGACACAACGGTTGTTAATCTTTTCTATAGGCAAGCGCACCCAAGTCTCTGTAGTATAATTTAAAGGTTGTCGAACCTCAGGGACTTGTGAAGTAATCTATGATTTCTATACTAGTTGATACTTTTGAATTTAAAACTTGGGTAATTACACATGTTCACAGTTGAAATGGATGATTGATTAAATTTAAATTAAAGAAACCACAGAGTAATTTGATTTGATGGAAACAAATATGAGAAACAGTTGGGATTCGATTTCATCAATCTCCCTCCTATGCATTCCTATTGACTCTTTCTAAAGATTCCATTACCCGTTGCCATTGAGTTCTCTAAACTTATTCAGACTCAATCCCTTGGCTTAAGAACGTCTAAGATATTTAACTCAACAATTGATTCCTCACTTCATTCAGTTAAATACCCCGCATTAAGAATCAAAACTTATTGCAACTACTAGTTTCAAGACCATCCCTGGCTCTCAAAACTAATAGGTGATTCGTTCCAAGTCTAGATTTAGAAAACGTTTTCCAACCAAATTCTAAACGCAAAATCAGAGATAAATGATCAGTTTATCAAAGCATTAAGAACAGGAACAAAATCACTGACATAAAGTAATGGATGATATATATATGAATCAAAGAGGAATACATAGGAGTTTGACGATTACATTTATCCCAACCCTAGAGATTAGCTCTCCATATTACAAGAAATCACCAAATTACAAGTTGAGAGGTAGAAGAAGAAGAAGATCCTTTGAAGATTCGCGTTCCCACGAGCTCCAGAGTACTCTGTTTTTCTCCTCTCTCTGTTCTCTTCCTTCGTACAGTTTCAGATGATGCTTTTCTCTCTCCTCTGCCCTTATATATGTGATAGAATTAAAAACAGAGTGAACAGGAAAGAGACGAATCCGCTCAGCGCCTTAGAGTGGCTGAGAGGATCCTTCACCATGAAGTAACCTCAAGGGCTGAGCGCCTTGGATCCGCTGAGCGCTTTAGAGGCAGAGAGCACCTCCTTTTTCCTGGATCACATCCGCTGAGCGGATGGTAGTGGCTGAGCGCCTTGGAGGCAGAAAGCCATCCTTCTCTTCCAGGACAAATTCGCTGGGCACTTCTGAACCGCTGAGCGCCTTCAGTTTGGGGGCTCTCTGACTTGATTCCGCTGAGCGCTTTAGAATGGCTGAGCCATTCTTCCCCAGGTTTCAAAACCTACAAAATACACATGAAATTGGATCAAAAGCTTCATCAATCCATGTACTAACATAATCAAAAATACCTCTTTGATTCTAAGCATATATAGATCAAAATAATATTAATATGTACACAAAGTGTGCTAGATAAGTGTCTCAAGTGAGTATTAATTCAAACTAATTAGACACTTATCAACGGTACACATACATAAATGGGCAGCGATACATTTCCTCACCTGGGTACATCGGTCACCCCCAGTATAGAGACAAACTGCGAACAAATGAGTCACACAGTGCAGACAAAGCACAACTATCAAGTAAAGACACCATCGATTCCTTCGTATCCAACTGACTATGGTACCAATCTACCTTACTCTTCACCCATTCATATCCATCTCTATTCAAAGGACCTTTACCCCTATCATCACCTATCTCCTTTGACTACAACTCTACAACCTCTTCAACCCTAATAAAAATAGGCTCTACCATTTCCACTCGTTGAACCACATCAATAATAACCACCCTTGCACCATCCACACCAGACATTCCCTTGCGGATAGTGGGGATATCAGTATATCACCCTCAATGGGAAGCCTCATCACGGTATCAAAGGAATTGCTATCCTTAAAAGACAATACCAAACCCCTCATCCCCATCCACACACACTTGAATGCAACATGAATCAAAAAATTAAAAGGCAATGAAGGGGAAGGAAACTACATGAAGCGACGACAACAAGCTAAAATAGCACCTACAACCTCAACAACGAGCGCAAAAAATAAACTTGAAACACAAAGGGTTTGTATACCCTTTGTGTTTGTATACCTCTTAGCTCAGGCAAACCAAACCAAGCTTATATCAAAGCTTAAACTGGATGAATGGCCCAATCAACTTGCTACATTAAATCTAGAAAACATAATTGATAGGAAGAATTCCCATATCATATCTCTTAGAGTCTTGGGCAATACGTCAATGGTTTGTTGAATACCACGAGCAATCACAAGAACGTATCAATAAATATTATGCAAAACTATCTCTTAAAATCAGGCAATACTATAAAACCATTTATATAGGAGATATTAGGTATCATTCGACCCTAATCTCATTCTTAACCTAAATTTCTCTCTAACTTTAATGCTGAAATTTCTTTATAAGTGTCCCACCATTATAGATATTGGAGCAACAATGGCGTTTATCTATCGTCAGAATATTAACAAATTCTAGTAAGAACATTTTGTATTAGTGCAATTAAATTTAGATAAAACTTTTTGTATATGTATGTATTTGGCTTCTCAGTTGTGCTTGTACAAAACTAAGAAAAATATTTTTTAGTTAAACTCATTCATTGAACAAGGTGTTGTTTATTTTAATAGTTTTTTCTCTGATTTAACCTAATTAAGCATGAATAGATCTAGAATCTTATAAAAAAGGATTAAATTTTTTCTTCTTCCTTTATGATTATTTAAATATTTAATTTCAAATAATATAATACATCAATTAAAGTTTACAAATAATATAAAAATTATTAAAATTTCATAGTATTATTCATTTATGTGTTTATTGAAAAATTTTCATAAATTTTTTCAGTTAATTTATTTTTCAATTTTTTTTACACTAAATGTATTATATATTTACTAATAAATAAATGGAACTCCCGTGGGTTCTGTATCCGTCCCTCAGGTTAAGTTCTAAAATATTTTTAGTTTTACAATGTTATTTCAATACACATTTTTTTACGGTATCTAATCAAACTTACTGTATTTCTTCCATTTACTGTTTCGTTGAACCGGCGTCTCATTTTCAGCCTTAAGTGCAGCCTTTTTCTTCTTCTTTTTATCTTCTTTCTTCTACTCCACTCTATTTTTCCATATTTGGACTCCTAGATCCATGATTTAATTCGATCAAGAAAAACCAAGTTATGATCCTGTATATCACACATCTCCTCCTATTGTACACTAGTTATTAAATCTGGGGTTTAGGGTGTTACCAAAGCACCAGAATAAAGAGGGAAAAAAATATTAAAAAAAAAAAGGAAAATGGTAAGGCTGCATTTGTTTCAGATAATGACATTCCTGGACAACAATATCAGCACATGTTTATTCTTTAGAATCTCTAAGAGTTGAACCCGTTCTAAGCATATCCAGAAGCATGGGATTTTAGGAAACATTATTTTTTAGGTATTAAATCGACCAATTGGAGGGCCACACCCAACGTCAAATGAAAGACGTAATGGGAGAATATTACACAAACGTCGTTAAAGATCTGTTTAAGTTAACTGAAAAATAACATGAAATGTTTAATAGACGTTCCAAATTTAATTGGGAGAAGAATGAATAAGAGGAGAGCCAAAGGTGACAAAATTTTGATCCGTTCATTACTTATTTGATGAATCCAATCAACTATTTATCTTTATTTCATTTATTTGCTCGCTTAACAATTCAACATTTAACTCATGTATGTACTCAATTTTAACCCTTTGCACGAGTTTCACATTTTAGATGAATTCATTGTAATTTTGACGACATTTTGCTTGTTTTCTTTTAGATTATTTTCCTAAAACATTTATTTAAAATATTAATATATATCAATATAACCCATTTTTTTTATTTTACATATCTATCTCTTTATTCTTTAAGCGGTATATAAGCTAAATCAGCACGGACTTTGTTTGTATAGAAATAAGAAGAGAGAAAAAAAAGGAAAACAAATTAATTGAAACAAATGAAAAAGAGAGGAACGAAACCAACAAAATATAATGACTAATCAACGCAGTCCGACTATTTTTCTAAATGAACAATTATTTTTGTTTTCTTGACGGAATCAACAATAAATATTAAAACTTAAATTATTGTCCATGGTTGATACATGGGGTGGTGAATCTAGATCTCATGTCGCTACAGTCAAACTTGGCATGAAACGGAGACAAAAAAAACAATGGCATGAAGGAGGCAGAGGAAAATATTCGGATCTGAATGGAGAGATAGTAAAAGTGAATCGATAAAAGTGTTTATTTATTGTTTTCCTATAATAATTGCATGAATTGATGAGTGATGAGTGATGAGCATGTGGTGGTGACGTTAGCAAAACCCTCGGCAAAGTGGGTCAACGCGGTCAACTCTCTTGTTGCCTTTTGATAAACGCGACACCTTACAAGCGCCGGCACGAACAGGCAGAGTCCGGTGTAGAGCACAAAGGCGAGCGTGAGAAGGCAGGACAGCAGCCTCGGCACGTGCCACCCACGGAGAGCATTCTTGAGAGCAACCTCGAGAGCCACGCCGGCGCCATGAATGAGGAAGAAAGACGCCGCGTCCCAGGAGGGTTCCCACGCCTCCCACGTGCGCTTCTCCCTCTTGATGTAGTAAAAAACCAGCTCGTGCATGACGGCGGAGACCGCGAAGGTGGCCAGGATGGCGGGGAGTGGGGCCCACTTGCGGCCCACGAGGCGTGCGGAGAGGGTGGCGACGGGGCGGTATACGGTGGGGTGTAGGAGACGGTTGACCATGATGTTCCAGCGGTTTCCCCAGAAGTCTTGGAGGGAGGTGCTTCGGTAGGGGTGGTTGAAGTGCGGCTCCAGGTGGACCCCGAGGAGTTTGCGTGAGGCGGTGGAGATGAGTGCGAAGATGAACTCGAGGCCGATGTACATGTGGAGGGCGTAGAGGAAGAGTGTGAAGGTGGGGTGGAGGTGGTATTTTGTGGCGTAGAAAGGGATGAAGATGGCCAGTATGAGGAGGGCGTGGTTGAAGGTTGGTTCTTGCAATGGCTGTTGGGGTTGGGTTTGGGGTTTGATGGGGAGGAGTGCGATGGGGACGAAGTGGGGGAGAGAGAGGGGAGGGTTCGAGGATAAGGGACCCTTTCCGAAGGCGAAGAGGAGGAGCTTGAAGGTTGAAAGCCATGCGAGGAAGAAGGAAGATGGGCCTCCGAGGTGAATGGATATGAGCCTGAGAGGGAGGAGAAGGAGGGTGACTATGGCGGGGATTAGGGCTATGAGTCTTGGTGGACCTTGGAGGATCACTTTTCCGATTGTGTGGGAGTAACACATTGTTGCTGCGGCCATGGACCACACCATCATCAAGTTTTTTATCTCTTCCTCCATCGATCTTAGTTCCTCGCTCCCTCGATCTCTACCACAATTAATGCTATATACTATATATATGCTCTTGTGCCACTGTGTTTTAATTTATTGTGGAACTCGTGGCCCAACCGGAGGGCTTTACTTTTCTTATTATAAAAATGGAGTCTAGGACACCTTTTGGTTTCGCTTCACTTTCTCCTCAGGCTCTTTTTATGAGTCATGCTCTTACAGGCTCGGGGTAACCATGATGTCGACGTACTTCGAAAGGTAAGTTCGCGGGGCCGGCGATTATGCGTGTTAGTCAAAAATTTAGTCATGCTCTTACTTAATTACGTTGCTTTTTTGTTTTTTCACTCGTATATATCTCCATGTTAGTCAAAAATTAGTTCTCTTGGATAGTAAAGAATTTTTAAAATGAGTTTTCTTTTCCTCTTTCAATGAAGTTTCCTTTATATACATAATTATAAACTGAACTTTTGTCCACCGTTTAAGCAACCTACCTATTTACATTACTGTTTTGTAATTTTTAATGAAATATAAGAAAAAAGAGTTACACTAATTAAGAAATTTAATTAACATAATTCAATCTTATTAATCTCTTTAATTTTTTTTTTAAATTCTACTTTTGAAATATGATATCTAGAATAAAGAAAGTCATTAAAAATAAATCTTAATTAAATGAAAATATTTTATACTATCATTTAAAAAAAATTTAATTAAGATTTAGTTATATTTTAAGTCCACTAGACATGTTTATATTTTAATCCTGACTTCCTAGTAGCACACACTATATGTCTTGTTGTGTTAAAAGGAAATGTTACCTCTACTTCTTTTTATAAAAATAAGTTCAAGTGCATCTTACGATATAACTTATTTCTTATGAAAGGAAACGGTGTTGTAAAAGATAAAAGAAAGAAAAGAATTAAAATTTGTCAGTTAAAACAAATAAAGTAAAGATGATTAACTAGGTTCTTATATAAAGATTAATCATCAATAAAATTAATATATAATTTATACTAGTAAAATAATTAATAAAATAGAGTAAAAGTTAAAATTTTAAAATTATTTAATATTTAAAAAATAAATTATATATATAGCCACGACTCAAATAAAAACACTTGTTAATATAATAACATGAAAATAACTAATAATAACTCTTAGATTAAAATAAATGGTTTAAGTTAAAAAATATTATTATGTATCATCGTCATCATATTTTTCTTTATCGTTGTTATCTTCATTCTCGTCATTGAAGCTATTACTACCAACGACGGATCTAGAAACTTTAGATAGTGAAGATAATATTTATTCATATATTTGTAGTATTAAAAAATTTACATATCACTTTTAAAAGTATAAATATATATTATAATTATATTCTACAAGTTTTTATATCTACCGTTACGACTAGAATCAGGCTAGACTAGATTATTTATAATTTAGTAGGTCTGAATCTAATTTTCACTGAAAATACATGTCCTAAGTATGATTTATTTATTTGTCATAGACATTTTTTTTAATGTTTGATTAGAACTACAATTCCAAATACATATTTTATAATAATTTAACACTAATAAAAACATTAAAAAAAATATGTTAAATTTTATAAAAACCAAATTTAATTTATTTGTGATATAAACATGTTTTTAATATCTAATATAAACTTTTAAATGATAATTTATTTAAAAATATATTTTATAATAAAAATCCTAAATAAAATATAAATCTTACGAATTTTACTATTTTGATTTTTTTTAATCAATATGTACAATAAATAGAAAGCACCAAAAGTAAATATGCATGTTATAAATTTTATTTTATCAAAAATTGATTTTTTTAAATGTATTATATTATATATATGAGCATTAATA